TTTGATCTATTTAAGTTGTTATTTAAGGGTAAGATGATTCTTTACTTAAATCCAGTAGCTTTTCTTTTTCTTTCATTGACAAATATAATATCTTATGATAATGTGAATGGATTTAGAATGAAATCAAATTTGATCATATTAGTTTTTCTAAATAATAATGAAGCTTTTCCTTAAGCCTACACAAATGTTCTGCTATTGGTTTTTAATCATTTTTAAGATTCATGTATTAGTCTTGATTATTATCACCAGTAAATCACATTAACCCCACTTATCCAAAGAACTGCATGAAAACATATAAATGTGGATGGACAAAGTTTATGAATTCTCTTCAATTTTTTGTAAGAGTTTGAAAAGGATTGGTGTTAATTCTTTAAATATTTGGTACAGTTTGCCAGTGAAGCCATCTGGTCTTGGCTTTTTTCTTTGTTGGGAGGTTTTGATTACTGATTCAATCTTTTACTTGTTAAAAATATGCTCAAATTTTCTTTCTTCTTTTGTCAGTTTTGGTAGTTTCTGTGTTTCTAGGAATTTATCCATTTCATCTAGGTTATCCAGTTTGTTAGCATAAAATTGTTCCTACTATTCTATTATAATCCTTTCCATTTATGAATGTTCTCTATTAATATCTCCACTTTCATTTATGATATTAGTAATTTGAGTCTTCCCTTCTTTTTTCTTGTCCAGTCTAGTTAAAGATTTGTAAATTTTGTTTTCTTTTCAAGATCCCAACTTTCAGTTTCCAGAGTTCTGCAAAAGTTGATTCTGACAGTTTCTGCCACTTCATGCATGGCTTTTAGGGAAGGACAAAAGCCTGGAATTTCCTACTCTGCCATTTTTGGTGATTAACAGTATCCATTTTGAGATTAAAATTAAAAGGTCCAGGAAATAATTCTACTGAGAAGCTAGAATTTCTTCAAAGAGAGTCAGAAGAAATGAAAACTGATAAGGCAAAAAACCAGAAGGAACAGTTTCTAGAAACCAAATTTCTATATAAGTAAAAGCTATCCATTTAAGCCTATATGAATCATGGTATTCTTATATCTAAAATAGTTTTATAACTCATCCATATATGAAACAGTCAAAAGCATCACACCTGAGTAGTTAAGTATCATATGAAACATCTAAAATAATTCCAATGATTCTTAAACCTGGCTGATAATCATAATCACCTGCTGAGTTTTTTGTAATACACATTCCTACACCTCCACCCAGAGATGTGTTATATGAAGGGGGCCCTAGAATCTATATTTTTATCAGTTCCCTAGGTGGGTATTAAAATCATCTAGATTTGGGAATGGATGCTGAAAAAGTAAATGAATGGCTAGTATGAGTAACTTTTTCAGAGGAGTAAATGAAGACTGGCATGATTAGTTTGCTTTCAACAAGCAGAACATAATGAGAAATGTATCTAGGTTCTGCATTTCAAATTCTATTCTCTCTCCTAACCTAAAGTACAAGAAACATCTATTGGAAAAAGTGAGTATCAAATATATTCATTTTGACATTGAATACATTATTTTAAAACCATCCTATTTAACTTTGGGATCAATATCATAAATAATTTTAAAAATAAGACTTGTTTTGTCCCAAACTATTGTAAAACCTAACCTCACTGAACAGTTTACCTTTTTCAGAAAAATAATAAATAGCTAATAATAATGAACTACCTATTATGTATCAGGCACCCAAGTACTTTACATGTATTTTATAATTTAGTTCCTATAACAACCTTATAACATAAATTAATTTATCCTCAGTTTACAGATTAAAAAAACTGAGGCACAAAGAGATTAAATAATTAATTACAGAACAAGTAAGTGACAGAGCCAGAATATGAATACATACCATATTCATCAGTGATGATTGCTAAACATCACTGCAATAAACTCCCTTCCCAAATGAGTCATCAATTAAAAGAGAACTTCATGCTGTAACTAAGCACTCATCTCACTAGATTCATATTTTCAGCCTTCCCACTCTCCTTCCACAAGTCCTTTTGAGCTTCACTAATTTGGTAGCCATTAGCCATATGTGGCTATTAAACACGTGAAATATGGCACCTGAATTGAGACACGCTGGAAAACTTAAAATATGCACCAGATTTCAAAAATTTAATGCAAAAAGAAGTATGCAAAATATATAGTTAATAATCTGTGTAGATAACATGTTGAAATGATATTTTTGATATATTGGATTAAATAAAATATATTATTAAAGTTAACTCCACTTTTTTATTATTATTTTTAATTTTAAAAAATGTTCCTACTAGAACATTTAAATTACATGGTTTGTATTATATTTCTCTTGGACAGCACCGTTGTAGAATTTCTTCCATGTCCTTGGACTAACATTGTTGACCATCCGCATATAGTCCCAAATTAGGTTTATTCTACCAATACCTTTCTGTGAATTCTAAAATGTGTCTATTTAAAGGAAGTCATGATATATGCTTTTGTTTGAAACTAGTTGTCTTTTATGAAAAGCCCTTGCATATTTTCTACCCTTCCATACCTTTTCTCCATACTTGGTTGCAAATAATCAGTAAACAGGTAAAAGAAAAGAGGAGAGAGTAAAAAAAGCTATTTGATGATAACCCCAGTCACTTAACTTGCCGGGTAGTGAGCTAAAATTTGAAGGAACAGAGCAGGTGTGTAATTACACATATCACCACATCACTCTATAATCATGCATGACAAATTACCCATAGTATGACTAAGTGTACATTTCCCCAAGAGATTCATGATAAAGGATTCATTTTGGAAAAGTTTAGTCATTTTCATTTTAAATATGACTGAAGTATCTTAGTCTTTTCCTTTAATAACGCAAAAGGCAATATTAGAAAAATAAAGGAAAGGCAGAACTACCAAGATAAGTGCCACAATGTTTTAGAATAAAGACCACCTTTTTTTTTTTCTCAGAAGTATGTAACTTCTAACAGGGAATTTTACAAGAAAATATTTTTCCCTTAGACTTATTGACTCCGTACAGATTTTAGGAGTGAAAAGACTTTAAAAGTCAAGTCCAATACCTAACTAATGTCTAAATGTCCTACAGGACATTCCCAAGTGTTTATAATGGGAAACTTACTCCTTCCCAATGCTGCCAGTCTGGCTGCTCATCGTTATCATCATCATCTTCTTCTCTTTTATTGAACTGAAATGTGTTGACCTGCAGCTTTTACTCATTGATTCTATTTCTGCCTTCTGTTCTTGGATCATATAAACCAATCCCACTTGCACATGATGGTCCTAAAATTACTTAAAAACAGCTATCCCCCACCTAGAGACTTCACAGGTCCCCACTTATTTTTCTGTATATACATTGTCTCATTCCAATATCTGCAAAGCACCGGATGTTCTCCTTCCCTCACCCACAAATGCTGTAGCAAGTAGCCAATCAAATGAGAGTTAGGATCTCCACTTTTTGTTTCGCAGTAATTGTTCATTGATAGAGGTAGAAGGAGATATACCAAACAGCAATTTGTCAGCTACTCTTTATTAATATTGTTCTCCAAGCAACTGTGCTCTCTCTAGTCCCATTTTAAAGAGATGTTATTAACCCAATTCAGGGCCTAGTGGGACTGATGTAGTCACACAACATGTATGTGCAAAATCATGAAGTCCCAGGTTGACCCATCAAGACTTCTTGTTTCCCCTTCCATTTGTCAAAGTAGAGGATGTACTTCTGTCAATCATTCTTAACCAGGATTCTCTAACTGAAAAGAAAAAACAAAGAAATTGGTATCAATCTCCAGGCCAGTGTATTAGAAAAAGAGGACATCATCTGGTAGGATTTTTAGCACAGACAAAATGGAACAGTTTTAACAAAGTCCATTCAAAAGATCCTTACAAGGAGCATTTTTTAAAGACTCAACAAAAATAGACCTGCAAATAAAGAGGAGAAGTTATGACTAATGAAGAACCTGAGGAAATAACCCCTAGAGTATAGTCTCATTCTCTGTTTGGATTTTTCCCCTTTTCTGATCCTTAAAAGCTTAACAATGTGTATGAAAACCACTTTAATTTAATAGCTTCTCAAGATTGAGATCTATGCCTTATAATTTAACTTTACCTTAGCACCTAGTACAGATGCACACAGATGTTGGTGGTGAGTAAAGACAGGTAGGCCCCATTTTGTACAAATGACGTTCTGAACAGAAGTTACATATATATCACAGTAAGCCAACAAGGAATGATTGGAGAAGGTAGACATAATACATGGAAGAAGTCCTGGAGACTGGAATATAGTCCCAACTCCACCACTAACTTGTTCTGTGACCTTGGGCAAATCATATGATCCTACTCTAGTCCATTTTTCCCATCTGTAAATGAGACAGATAAACCAGATAATCGCTAAAGTCCCTTCCAGTTCTAATATTTTATGAAATCTTCATTCAAATATAATAATTAATATTCATTAAGTACTTGCCTTGTGCTAGATACTATGCTAGACAGCATTTACATACATTAACTCATCTAATTCTCAAGTAACCTTGTGAGGTAGGCAATGTTATGGAAGTTAAGGAACTTACCCAGGGTCACAAAATAGTGCAACTGGGCTTCTAACCCAGAAAATCTGACATCAGAGCTGGCATGCAACCTCTACACTATATTGCCTCTAAATATACAAGAGAAACTTGGTTTTTAAAGATGTTCTACAGTGAATACTTTGGGAAAATGAATAGTCATCTCCTAATTTATCATCTTTTAAGTTCTTATTGCCATGTTATATAGCTTGAGTGTTTCCCATTTGTTGGCTTTTTAAAAGTCAGATTATCCTTGTATTTGTTGAATGAGTAGAAATTCTTACTCAAGGTTTAAAATGAAGGAAGGTAGCAAAAGATAGAATTTAATCATCCTTGCCTTCTGTTATGTTAGCAGGCTGGTGGTTTCCTAAAGTATCATTGAATAAATTACTAAAAATGATGCTATGGAAAAATGCATTAGAAAAATAATGTTTCTAAGTATCACTAATCTTGACCTTTCTTTCTCTTTTCACAGTGACTGTTTTGAGCCCAGCAGAAAAAGGTAAGCAGGTATTATAAATTGTTTTGGTCAGGACTGTATCCCTCTTTCTGTCTAAAAGTGAATTACATTAAAGCCTATAAATTGAGCAACTTTCCCAGGAATACACTGAGGTTAGTGGAAAGTTTAGGATAATGGTTTTTAGGAAGCTTACCCAGAGATAGAGCAGAACATATTTTAAGTAGCTCCTCTGGCTGTAGGACAGGAATTTGAAGTTACCAGGATTTATGATAGAAAAGGGCACAGGTAGCCACTCTGTTTGTTTGCCATACTAACCCTAGGCTTTCTCTTGGTTCATCACTATTGTCCTAGGTACCTTGCCTTTCTGCCCAGTTCATTCCCTCTTCAAGGCATGGAGTAAGGGTCCCACAGTGAGGCTTTTAAAGGCTAAGTCCTTCACCATCACAGTTCCATTATATTTACTATACTACTCTTCACTTCTCACCCCCATCTTGGCTTGATCTGCAATTTATACTACCATTCTAAACAGACTGAGGCATTCTTCATTAAAAAATGTGTAAGCTAAACATGTGTCTTAACAAACCTTTAGTTTCACATTATTTTATCAGGTATAACCATAAGTATTCATATAGCCACTTTTAATTCTCACTTCATGGGAATTGTTGTAATTCATTAACTACATAACTTTCATATTATGCTGTTTTAAAGCTGAAGTTTGCTATTACTCATTTAACAGAGGTGTTGGCTGTAGAGGCAATAGAGCAGAGTGGTGGGAAGATAGTAGAGCACTGTAGTTAAAAGTATGAGAACTGTCTAAATTCAAATCCTGGCTCCACTACCTCATAGTAAATTATTTGACCTCCTTGTGCTCACTTTATTCATATGTAGAATAGAAATAATAATAATACCTATTTCATAGAGTTATTATGAAAATTTAATGAGGTATGCATGTAAAGCCCTTAGAACAGTGGTGAATAAAGCACATACTGATGACTTAATAAATGTTTGCTACTTTTGTTACAGCCTTAGAGCAAGTCTTGAGTTGCCTCTTATTGTTATGGATGGTTCTTAAAGTCAGAGATCATTTTCTGTATACATATATAAATATTTACAAATAAATGTCATTTTCCACAATAACCTTTCAAGATAAGTTGGGTGGGGGCTTAGATGATGCTCCACCATAATAGAAATAATGACAATAATATTGTTATTATTATTGGAAACTACAACTTATTGTGCAGAGTACCCTGCTAAGTATTGTGTGTGTGTGTGTGTGTGTGTGTATAATCTTTCAATATTTACGTCAACACAATGATGTAGACATTCTTATATCCATTTTATTTTGCAGGAAACTGAAGTTTAGAGAGGTTAAGTAACTTAATCCCAGGTCATCTAGCTAGTAAATGGTAGGATGCAAACCCAGAACTACCTGACTTCAAAGTCCATGCTGTTAAGCAAACCTATACTTGTTCTTTTTACTTTTTAGTCTACAACTCCCTCATTTCATTTGCTTAGTTGACCTCCTTACTCAGAAAATTGATGCTCAAATGATCATTTTTCTAGTGTCCAAAGTAGTATATTTTCATTTCTTGTGTGTTGTCAATGAACTCAACCACACCAGTGTAGAGTGTCATTTGTAAGCCAAACTCAGTTCAAAGCCTTTCTAATAGCATCAATCCAGTTACCAGAATTTGATCTCTTTAGGAAACTGTTACCACAATGTACAATTTTAAGGTCCCTCTGACTCTAGAATTCTGTAATTCCAAAGCACTTCTCTCCTGATAGCTCTTAAATTTATCATAACACTAAAAAAATAAGATTAGACTTTGCTTCTTTATTCTGAAGTGGGGTATAATAGGACAAAGCACAGGATTTAGGGACAGAAGATGTGGGTTGGAGTTCCAGCTCTATCATTTACTAGCTCTATGACCTTTGGTAAGTAACTCAACTTCTCTGAACTTCAATTTCTGTAAAATAAGGCTAGTTTAATAACATCTTAGAGATTTACTGTAAGCTAGCAGGAGTAAAAGTATATAGGAGTAAAATATGCAGCATTAAATTGCTTTGTAAATGTAAAGTATTAACAATCTCATTGTAACATTTTATGTCAGGATTCTCAAGACAGTAGAATCCATAAACTAAAATTAGATTCAATTGTAGCCAGAAGTTTGAAAGTTAGACTTGAAAAGAGCTTCTGAACACTAGGGCAGGTTACTAGGAGATGCCATGAAAACTATTCAGAAAGTATCAGGCACCCAACTATCTGGCATGAATCAGTGAGCCTTGCCTAGAAGCAGACCAACAGGCCTAATGAGTATCTAACCATGTGAATAACCACAGTTCTAACCATGTGAATCTGTGACTTCTTTCAAATTATACTACACTACTAACTTAGAATACAGTACAACATGACTGCCAGTAGGAACATCATTTGGCATAGCAAAGAAAATATAAGGGACAAAGAAATGAAAGCCTCAATTCACGTAACCTTTTATTCATTATTCACAGCTTAGGAAAACCATAGTCAGACATACTGCAAAAGTTTTTCCATTTCTTGTCTGCTTAATGGTTCCTCTACTGGGTTGAAGAGTGTCCCTCCAAAATTCATGTCCACCCAAAACCTGTGAATGTGAATTTATTTAAAAATAGGATCTTTGCAGATGCAATCAAGTTAAGATGAGGTCACATTGGATTAGGGTGGGCCTTATGGCTGGTGTCCTTATAAGAAGAGGGAAATTTGGATACACAGATACACACAGAGAGAAGACAGCCATGTGAAGACAGAAGCAGAGATAAGAGTTTTGTTGCCACAAAGGAACACCAAGGATTGCCAGAAATGGCCAGAAGCTAGGAAGAGACAAGGAAGCATCCTCCCCTGGAGCCTTCAGAGAGAACATGGCCTTGCCTATACTTTAATTTCAGACTTCTTGCCTCCAAAACTGTAAGAGAATAAATTTATGTTGTTTTAAGCCACCCAGTTTGTGATAATTTTTTATGACAGCCCTAGGAAACTAATACAGTTCCTGATAAGAGATTTCAATCTCTAATGCACTGTTAAGTAGCAAATTAGCAGACTTTGGTGTTAGATGTACCAGGGATCAAATATTGACTTTGCCACTTACTATATATATGACCTTGGGGAACTTAAGCTAAGTTTCACTTTCTTCCTCTGTAAAATTGGAATAACAATACCTACCTTTCATGGTTCAAAGCACTAAATGAAATGATGTATGTAAGTCTCTTGGCATAGTGCATGGCATATGATAAGTAAAAAATAAGTAGTAATAGATACTATTGTTATTAACATTGGAAAGGACCTAAAATATCTTTCTTCTAAGAAGGATAACATATTTCAGGACTATAATTCCGACTACTACCCTTGTAAATATATTGTCAAAATCCTTGCACTCATATTTTGTAAGTAGAACAACTGAGACCCAAAGAAGTAAAATATTTTGACCTAGTCATGCTGATTCTAGTGCACAGAAAGGACTAAAGCTCAGATCATCTGAACCACAGTCCAGAATATTATATATTATGTCATCCTTGATTATACAGGACTCAGAAATTCTTTAAGACATGAGTCCATCTGTTCTTCCATAGACCGTACAAGAAAACACAATATTTGCTTTCATAAGAGTGTTTTGCATGGATGATCTCGTTCAGCATCTTACTGTCTGTATTTTGAAGATCTTGAGTAGAAGGTCTTCCCTCCTCTACTCCTAAAGTGAGGCTATGGGATAAACTAGAGGTTAAGAATTTGGTAGAGTCCAAGGATTGGTAAGGCTAAGGGATGAATTTAGAAATGAGATTAGGCACAATCTGTCAGGCAATCCACATATAATCAAGAGTAATGTATTGACCACAGTTGTTCATCTTCAAAAAGGGCCATCAATCATTTTAAGCAAACATTTAACTCATTATCTGAGAATTCATTTGTATTTTGAATGGTTTGCATACTAAATTCTCTAGTTTCCCATTTAAAGTTAAAAATGATTGTAATTATTTACCATTTTAGAAATAGGTGCAATTCCTAAATAATAGAACTGTTATGGGCTGAATTGTGTCCCCTCAAAATTCATATGTTGAAATCCTAACCTCCAGTGACTTAGGATGTGACCATATTTGGAGGTAGGGTCTTTAAAGAGGTAATTAAATGAAAATGAGGTCACTAGGGTGGACCCTAATCGATATGACTGGTGTCCTTATAAGAAGAGGAGATTAGGAAAAAGACACACAAAGAGAGAAGACCATGTGAAGAGACAGGGAGAAGATCACCATCTACAAGCCAAGAGGAGAGGCCTCAGAAGAAACAACCTTGTCGACACCTTGATCTTGGACTTCCAACCTCCAAAATTGTGAGAAAGAAAATTTCTGTTGTTTAAGCCACTTAGTCTGTAGTACTTTTCATGGCAGCCCTAGCAAACTAATAAAAGAACTTATTCAGGTTTCCACTTGAAAACTCAGCTTTGTGTCAGTTTTTTTATTATACTAACCTTAATTTATTGGTGGTATATTAGACACCATCAGGGTGAGAGGGCATTGGGAGGAAAAAGTTTGGGCCACAATATGATCTTTTATATTCACCTCCATACTGTATAGGGAATCTTCAATTTATTTTGTTGTTGTTGTTCTTATTTTCCTTTTTTTTAAATTACAGTATAGTTGATTTACAATATTATATTAGTGCCAGGTGTACAACAGAGTGATTCAAAATTTTTATAGATTATGCTCAGTTTATAGTTCAGTTATTCTCTGTGCTAGCTATACAATATATCCTTGTTGCTTATTTATTTTATACATAGTAGTTTGTGCCGCTTTATCCTCTACCCCTATCTTGCCCCTTCCCCCTTCCCTCTCCCCACTGGTAACCACTAGATTGTTCTCTATACCTGTGAGTCTGTTTCTTTTTTGCTATATTCACTAGTTTGTTTTATTTTTTAGATTCCACATATAAGTGATAACATAGAGTATCTGTTTTTCTCTGTCTGACTTATTTCACTAAGCATAATACCCTCCAGGTCCATCCATGTTGTTGCAAA